AAAAAATCCATTTTAGCTTTTTTATATCAAGATGTTATTTTATTAAAAAGTTATTGATTTGTTATTGAATTGATAATTGCATTGAAATCCTTTATAATTATGGCCTTAAAACTTTAAAATAATTTTTCTGCTTGTCTAGGATTTTATTTTGAAGTAACTATTGTAACTATTTATTTACAATTTTCTTTGATAACAGATATACTTTATAAATATAGAACTTATATCTTGTTGATAAAAAGTTAACTTATATTATGTAATTTTCTATTTTTCAATAGATTCTAGCTTTTTTTTAATGTTTTTGTTGATAAGAAGTTTTACTTCAGATTCTCTGAATTTTTTATTATAACTACTGTGAAAAAACTTATGTATTTATTATAAGGTAAATATAAATACTACTGCTTTATTTATTAGTTTAGTTTCATAAATATCTATAATATCTATATCAGTTTTTATAAAAGTTTATATAATCTTTATTAATTTAGGTTGATATTAATTCCTTTGATATTATGTGTTTCAACTAAGATAGTGTTAGTTAGTATAGAATTATCTATTATATACTTATTATATAATATAAATTTTTTTTCAATTCTATTAATAGTATTCTTTTTGAATATACTAATGAAATTATCAAATGATATATCATATATTATATAAGAAAGAGCTATGTTAATATTTGCTATTTTCTTTAAGATTGTATCTTTTCTTCAAAATGAACATAATTTCTCTTGTGGATTAGATTCTCTCTTGATATACTTTGATTAAACTAATACTAATTTCAGAAGTGATTATTTCATTATCTCTTTCTTATTTTATTTTGACTACTTGTTTTTTTTTTTATTAGGTTTATTATATTATTTAGTTGTTTGAGATTGTTCAATATCTAATAAAAGGGATCTTGATCACTTTCATTTTCAAGATAAAGACTTTCAGATTTATCATATTAACTTCTTTTATTATAATAATTGATTGACCCACTGTTACTATCAGTAAAAAAGTATTTGGAAGTTTTTATTGTCTCAATAATATGTTTATTGCCTTGGGAGTTATGTCTCTTCTTTTTTTCTTTTTTTTCTAGACCAATTCTTTTTTAGAATTATTTTCTGTTTCTGTTTCTTTTTCAAATATTATATATCAATTGATCTTAATATTGTTTCTAATATTGGTTTAACTCAATTGTCTTGAGTAAAGTTTGATATATATTGTTTTAAATAAATTTTCTTTTAATTATTTTTATTGTTCTTTGTTGAACCAATTCTTTATCTTATATTGTTTCTTTTTTAAAGTATTTCTTATAATTCAATTGATATGATCTTGTTTCTTTTAAGAATAACTTTATTTTTATTTAAAATATTTTTTAATATTCTAGGTAAGTTTATATTGTAAATAAATATATGCTGTTTTGAAGTATGTTTTAAATCTTATACTGATAAGAAACAAATTACTGTATAGTCTTTTTTTTTTAGTATATATTAATTTGATTTTAGTATACTTGATTGCTCAAGTAATCAAATCAGTAATAGTGTTATATGTTTTATATAGTTGCAAATATTATTGTTGTACTATTTGATAATCTATTAATTTCATTATTCTCAGGCTCATATCGAGTAAAAATAGTTTTGATATTTTTTGTATTGATATAAATTATCTATTTTTTTTTAAGATTAATATATTTCTTATAAGGAATAATACATATCTTAATTTTTCATTATGATTATGAATAATTATAAATATAAATATTTGTTATATGTCTATATTATTAAGAATAGATTTGATTTCTTAATATAAATAGTTTTGATTAATATTTATTAGTATAACTATTAGTTAGGTTTTCTCTTCTTCTTTTATTTGCTGAAATATTTTTTTATTTGATGGTTAAGTAGAGTTTATTCATTTCTTTATTTACTAAAATATTAATATTTTTTTCAATTTTAAGTTTATTTTAAATATTTTAATTACTTTTTTTTTTTTAATTTACAATCATGCTACAATGACTTGTCTTTATTGAAAATTAAAATAAATTTACAATAATTTACAGACTTTCACAAAATAACTAATTCATCTTCATATATGTACTTTAAATTGGATTTTGGAAACAATATTATATTTCTCTAATAGATTGATAATAATCTCTATCTATTAGGATTATTATTAATAGTTTGTTACTATTAATTGTTCAAAAACTATTGAATTGTTAAGTTAGAAAGAGAAAACTGTAATTTTTATTTACTTCTAAATAATATTATATATATATTAATTTATATATGATAAATATATTATATATTATATATATTAACTAGCTTATTAAGGAAAACCATATAATGCTTTTTTAATTTTTTCTAGAACAATTTTATAAAGTAATCTAATTATCAGACTATTGTGTTTACTTTAGCTTGTCCCTAGATTTGAGACTTTGATATAATTTATGAATTTCTCCTTTCGTCAAAATCTCTTGATAATAAACTTTATTTATTTTGATTATACTTTTATATATTCCACTAATATAATATTTATTCTTTTCAGAACTTCAATTTTCTTAACTTGTGACAATTTCTTGTGATTGATAAGATTATCAAAGTACCTAGTATTATTTCAGTTTTCATTTCAATTAATCATGAAATTAACCTTATTCTTTTTCATTTTATTAAGATGATGATAAGATACTGATTATTTCACAATACTTATAGACTAGTTTGATTGATAAAGATCAGCTATAGTTGATACCATATAATAGTGAATTTTTCTATTTTAGTTATTCAGTAAGATAATCAGGATTACATCCAATGATATTTTATTATTACTTAATGAAGTACTGAATTTTATTGTGATATAGTATTTTTCACTTAGCCTCTATGTGATATTGAACTTTGGATCTTATAATTATGACTTGGAAGCACTATCACTATATTATAGATCCATAGGTCTTTTAAATATTTTAATTGTAAAATATTTATTATTTAAAATATAATATATAATTATTTTTAAATTTTTTAGAAAAATATTACAATTATTCTAATTTGAATTTATATATTTTAATAATTTTTAAATATAGTATATAATTTTTATAAAAAATAATTTGATGATTTGTATAATTTTTTTAAAACAAATATTTATATAAATATATATTTTAAATAGTAATTATTATGATATTGGAGATTAAAAATTTAAATAATATTTTTAATATATATATATATATTTTATAATTTCAATTATACAGTATATATAATATAATTGATAATCTTATTATATATAATAATTCAACTTTTATTATACTATTAATTGATTCTATAAATTAATTACAAGTTTATTTAAGAATATATATAGTAAAAAAAGGAATTTTAAATTTTTTAATAAATAAAAATTGATAAAAATAATTCTTTTTTTATATTTACTTATATGGAATTTATATTGTTAATAAAATTATTTTTTAGAAATTTAGATTTTAAATATTATTAAAAATTGATTGACTTATTTAATTTACATTATATAAAAATTATTTTAAAAATTATATTTATAATTATATTATAAACAAATGTTTATTGAAATTTTTTACTTATTATTATATATCTTAAATTAAAAAATATTTTTTTAAAAAATTTTGAAAAAATTTCTTGTATAATTTTTAAAAATTTAATAAAACAAGTTTAATCTTTATGTTTATATTTATTTCTATTTGAAATTTCAATAAATATTTATCAAAATTTATCAAAATAGACCAAGAAAATCAATAATTTTTTTTTTTTTTTTTGCCACCACTATACTGTATATTATTTAAATTTTTATCTTAGAGTTATTTCAAAATCTTTAATCAACAAGTTTATACTGTATAATTAAAAATTTTTATTTATAATGAATTCGAACAATATACTGTACTTACTGTACACCATTTTTTTAGAATTTAAATATACAGGATATATTAAATACGAAATAAGATTTGAAATTGTAAAGATTAATTAAATAAATTATAATCAACAAACAGCATACAATTGATTTTACTAATAAAAGTTCTTGATAAAGGTCTTCAATAGAATTTTTCATTGCATCAATTTATTTTAATTGCACCTGACAAGACCCTATGCAGGAGATTCCACTCTAACCAAATTAAACGCGACTTGGAATAAAAAAAGGTGATTCGTGATTTATTTAATTGATTCTTTGCATTCAATGGCAGTTGTGTGAAAATATACCGAGATGTCATTTAATCAGTTTCATATTTTCATATGTGAATCTCTTTATCAATAAAATAAGGCTGAGCCAGCGAATAAAGAAGAGAAGTAAAAATCCAGGGAATCGTGTGTGGCCATCCGGGATTCATTGCATTCCACTCAAATACCTTTCAAATTCTCATAGGTCTACTGTATTATATTTCCAACGGGTGTGTGATGAAATATCGATATATGCTGTACACGAGAGAAAAAAAAAAAAAAAAAATTAATTTATGCGAAATTCAAATTGCAGTACATTATGCAATGCATAATCCAATCTACTCTTGGGAATCTGGAATAATTTTCCAGGCCTCCAAAATCGTAGCGAGGCAAATCATTGCCATAAACAATAAACGACAAATGCGTTATTAACATATATGAAGAGACTGAGCTTCACTAAATCAGATGGAACAAATTCCTTGTAAACCCGCAGACCCGTAAACAGTATTATTAGCAATTCGCATGTGCCTTTCACAAGCAAAATTTACATGTGAGTATCCGCAAAGTTTATATGTGGGATGTTTTTATTTTATGCGGGTAAACATGCTTATCAGAATACGCTGGCAGTGTCGCAGACTCACAATAGAATGATTAACAATGTAAATGACATAATGCTGGTAGCGAACTTCTGTTGAATACGTTGAATATGCATGCCAAAAAAGGCTCCCGTAATAACTTCCAAGACAAAGAAAAGATCCCTATGGATCATTATAAATAATTCACTTTTATACTTTTTTCTTTTCTTTTTTTATTTCCAGGTCACTCTCTTCACAATCCATACAAATCAATTTCTTGGAAATGTCCTCCTCAACAACAACATATCAACCCACTACTACCAAGACATCCTGTAACTATGCCAGTTCTCATTGATATTATGTTATTTGTTTTTTTGTTTTTTTTTTTTTCTCTCGGAAATCTTCTGACAACGATTTATTATTCTCTCCATAGCTTTCAATTTTGAACCTCAAGACTCAGCTATCAGGTCGAAATCCCTGGTAAGAAACCGAGATGATGATGAAGTATATGAAGCGTACATCAGTGGACCCATCAAAGGTGTCGCATTCTACCTCTTTCATCCTAACGAACTTCGAAATGATCATCCAATCTGGCACTACTTTTACTTGTGCACCTTAATATTTGCCTCCTTTGTCTCACTATTCGTGGGTCCCGTGATCTTCGGTATGTTGGCGGCTATTGGCGGCGTTGCAACCCCGCTCGCTCTGAGTTTGGTTGGTAGTGGCATAGGGTTACTCTTGGGGCTGGTTTTTGGAGTCGTTTTCTCGGTAGTCTGCATTGTCGCTTTGGTTAGAGCTCTTGGGTGGGTCGCCCAGTGGGTTTTGGATACCCTTTGGTTCGGTGGAAGTGATTTGATGTTGATCACCAAGGAACAAATTTTATATTTGATTAACAATCAAGACTAAAAATTTTAAGATAGTAAATTTACACATTCCGATTACCACATGGGGAGGGTCCCCCCCAAAAAAGTCATTTAATTCTGCATATCGTTTTTTGTTAGTCCAGGAGATTCTTGCAAATTTCGGTATCTTATTCTCGACAAATAAAACATTAATTTATCGTTGTACTGTACGTGCTAGTTAGTATTTCTAGTCAGGAGGATGCCTCGACATCCGAGGTTCTCGCATTAATGTATTTCAGGTCACATGGTAGCTAATGATACACAACAAGCCCTCCTTGCATTACGGGCTATGGTTTAACCAAATAAAGACTCATTAATTTTGTTTATTAGCCAAAAAAGTCCTTTTAATTTTCTTGCTTTCCCGTATTTAGCATAACCATCAAGTCCCCCAGACTTCTACACGTCAGTGCTCTTTTTTTTTTTTTTTATCCTGACGTCTCGCGAAGAACGGAAAAATGACATCGAGACTTTACGAAAGACTTTCAAGTGATTTAGCAACATTGCTAGAGAATTCTCAGAGTTATGATGTCATAATAAAAATCGGTGGTGATTTTGAAGGCGGAGAAAAGGAATTCAAAGTGCATTCCTTATTACTCGCCGCTCGCTCTCCCTATTTTCGCGCTGCCTTGTCAAGAGATTGGGCGAAAAATTACAATGAAAAGGGCTTGATCATCTTGACAAAACCTAATGTATCGGCAAGCGTCTTTGAAATTGTTTTAAAGTAGGTATCCTATATTTTACTCCTCTTGCAAGATTCCTATCTCTCACCAGTTTGTCGGATTCATTTTTATTATCATTATGATGCATCGTCCAAAAGTTACATATACACAGGTGTAATAGAATTTGACAAGCAGGAGATGCTTGATCTGCTCGACCTATTGGTCGCTGCGGACGAACTGATTCTTGGCGAGTTGGTGGAGCACACCCAAGATTATCTTATTCAGCATAATGCAAAGTGGCTTCAAAAAAACATTGTCAAAGTTCTGCATACCATCTTTCGTCACAAGACCTGTGAAAAACTTCAAAATTATTGTCTCGAGATAATCTCAGACGATCCTCGGTTTTTATTTGAATCGGAACATTATCTTTCTTTGGAAAGTGATTTATTGGTCTCATTGTTGGGACGTGATGATTTGGAGATAGATGAGATTGAAATTTGGGATTACTTGATAAGATGGGGTATCGCTCAGACCCCTTCTTTACCTCGGGATTCTGATGTCGAAAATTGGACGCGCGATCACTTTGGTGAACTCGAGGAGACCTTGCATCAGTGCATTCCGCTCATTCGATTTTTCCACATCTCTTCTGACGATTATTTCAAGAAAGTATTCCCTTACAAAAGAATCTTACCGAAATCATTGAAACAAGATATTTATGGATATTTTTTGTCCCGAGGTTATCAACCCAAATCTGTAATTTTACCTCCCAGGATACTACCCATCGAATCCGCGATCATCAATAACAAGCATGCGTCTCTCATTGAACATTGGATACAAGCGAAAGGTGATGAATCTCAGCACTCTTTCAACTCGAAATCGAACAACAGTTACTGTAAAAGGTTGGAGTTTGATTGGAAACTATTGTATAGAGCGAGTCGTGACGGTTTTTCGGCCGCCGACTTTCACGCAAGGTGCGATAATCGCGGCGCTTGCGTGGTTGTCATCAAAATTCGAGGACACGCTCAGGTGATTGGAGGCTACAATCCTGTCGGCTGGTACTCGTATCTCACTGGCTACATTTCCACGAGTGATAGCTTTGTATTTTCTATGGATGCAAGTCGAAACCTTGAAAACTTCAAGCTCAATCGCGTAAAGGACCCGGACAATGCGATCTACCAAGACCAAAATCGCGGGCCGACATTCGGATATCCCGATTTATCCGTGAGCGACCGTTGTAATGAAAATGCGCGGTCAAATTATGAACCGAAACCTCATTATCTTCAGAATGGAACCACCTTGATGCCCTCTTTCTACGTTGACGATTATGAAATCTTTCAGGTATATATTATTGAAGATGATGAAGCCAAACACTGATCGTCGCAAAACGAATTTCGAGAAAAAAAAACCCCCCCGTGAAAAATAATGAACAAAAAATTTCTATCTAAACTACAGGTAAGCAAGGTAAATAAAAAGAAATTTATCAAGCATCCGCAGCTCCGCTTGCCTTCCAAGCGCCTAGAATCAATCCGACCACCTCAGGAATTCCAACGCCGTTTTTCACTTGGGTGAACACGGTTGGTCCACTTTCCCTGGTTTATCAAAAAAAACCGCAAAAAATGAAGATTACACACGTGTTCCGCGAATAACCGATTACAAAATATTAAGAAAGATTGACCACAAACAAACCTCATTTTTCGTGCATCCCTTTCCATGATGCCCAAATCGGCACCGACAATCTCGGCGAGATCTGTCTTGTTGATAATTAACAGATCGGATTGAGTGATACCTGGGCCACCCTTACGAGGAATTTTGTCGCCTCCAGCCACATCGATCACTAATTTAGGATTAACATTGTCAGCGGACGAGTGGATCCGGGCGTGAATTAACGAGAATGAAAAGTTCTAGCTAGAATTTACCATAGATTATGTAATCGGCCAATTCACGCGAATAATTGGCTGTGGTTTTGTATTTTTTTTAAAATGCGAATTTGTGAATAAAGTTCTGAAAATCCTATGAACGTAACTTAAAATGAGTTCGTCATTACCAGCCAAATTATCGCCGCCGCTTTCTATGAGCAACAATTGAACGTTGAATTTAGCATGAAGTTCCTCTAAAGCACCTAAATTGGCGGAAATATCCTCCCTAATGGCGGCGTGGGGGCAACCGCCGGTTTCAATGGCCCGAATCCGCTCCGCCGGTAATGCGTTATTGCGGACGAGGAATTCCGTGTCCTCTTTGGTAAAGATGTCATTCGTGACCGCTGCAATGGAGTAGTGATCGCGGAAAGCTTTGCACAATGCCAGCATTAGCGCCGTCTTTCCGGAACCAACAGGACTTTTTTTTTTTAAAAAAAAAAAAATTTAAAAAAAATTAAAAAAAGATGAGTAAATCAGAGATAAAATGAATTAGAAATCGCAAGTGAATGTTAACGTTGAACGGGCGAATGATGGATGATTGCAAAAAATTAACTTGCCCTCCAATGCCTACGGTGAAGGCTCTTTCCTTCCAATTTCGACGAGTGTATTTTGGCATCTCCCTTTCGACGTATCTACCAGGATGATCCAATTGTTCGTGAGTATGGCCATGGTCACCGTGCGAATGAGAATGGGAATGCGAGTGGCCTGGTCCGGTCGTGGTGCTCGCCAACATATGATCTTCGAAGCGACAAACCTCCTTTGGAGAAGACATTTTTTTTTTTTTTTTTGCAAAGCAACCTCCGAACTAAGAGAATATATATACAAGATTTTCACTTGTGCAAACCCAATCAGATTCGAGATGATCGTAATCAACAGAAGACCGTCTAAAAAATTCCCTCGGACCACCCAAAAATGTCTACTTTCTCACGGCATACTGGGGTTAACGTTCCACGCATCCCATTATAGACTATCTACAATTTAGGATCATCTTTTTTTGTCAAGTATAAAAATAAACAGGGATCCCCTCCTCATTCAATTTACGCACGCAATTATGAGGTTAGTACCCCGCGAACTCGACAAACTTGTCCTTCATCAAGTCGGTTTTCTTGCCCAGAAGCGTCTCGCGCGTGGTGTGAAATTGAACCACACCGAGGCAACCGCTCTTATCGCTTCTCAACTAATTGAATTCATGAGAGATGGAACCAGTTCGGTGGCCGACTTAATGGACATGGGGAAGCAGATGCTTGGCCGACGTCATGTTCAGGAGGACGTAATCGAAACGTTGAATGAAGTTCAGGTTGAAGGCACTTTTCCAGACGGAACGTATCTCGTAACCGTTCACAGCCCAATCTCTTCACTCGATGGGAATTTGGAGCTTGCTCTCCATGGAAGCTTCTTGCCGATTCCCGACAAATCGAAATTCCCGGAGCCATCCTCGCCGGAGTCCGCACCTGGCGCAGTTGTGGTTAGGCCGGGTAAGATTACCTTGAGCGAAGGACGCCAACGGGTCACCGTTAAAGTAACAAACGGAGGAGACAGGCCTATTCAGGTGTGTGTTTTTCCGAAATTCCATAATCCTTATACACTCTTATCTACATAAATTATTCCTAATTCCAATTAAATAAAAACTTTTTCTTTTAATCGCGCAGGTCGGTTCTCATTATCATTTCATCGAGACGAATCCGGCTCTGTCCTTCGATAGGACCTTGTCATACGGCAAAAGACTCGATATTCCTGCCGGATCCGCGGTACGATTTGAACCTGGTGAAACCAAGACCGTTACTCTGGTCGAGATTGGTGGCAAGAAGTACATCTCTGGAGGAAACAACATTGCGTGCGGTTCCGTTGATATCACGAAAGTCGACAGTATCGTCGAGACTCTAATCGCACAAGGATTCTCACATACTCCACAAGTCGACAAATTCTTGGCGTGCAATCCCTACACCATCGACAGAGCTGTGTACGCGGACATCTTTGGTCCCACCACCGGAGATCGTCTGAGATTAGGAAACACTAACTTGTGGTTGGAGATTGAAAAAGATTATACTCATTACGGCGATGAATGCAAATTTGGTGGTGGAAAAGTGTTGAGAGAAGGTATGGGACAATCGACATCTGTAACCGATAAGGAAGCCTTGGACTTGGTCATCACGAACGCTGTGATCGTCGATTGGAGTGGAATCTACAAGGTTGGAGTAAGATCGGTCTTGCAACTTCCAATATTTTCATGATGTGTGACTTCTGCGTCTATACTTTAACTAGGCAGACATTGGCATTAAGGATGGGAAGATCAAGGGAATTGGTAAGGCCGGTAATCCCGACGTAATGGAAGGCGTGACTCCTGGCATGGTTTGTGGAGCCACGACTGAAGTACTGGCTGGTGAAGGTCATATTTTCACGGCTGGTGCGATTGACTGTCATGTTCACTTCATTTGCCCTCAAATTATTCCAGAGGTATGCATCCGCTTGTAATTTCTCCTTCAGGTTTCATGTTGTTTAAATGTTTGTGCTTTTAGGCGATTTCATCTGGTATCACGACCTTAATTGGTGGTGGTACCGGTCCTAATACCGGAACAAACGCGACAACATGCACACCAGGAAAAACGCATGTTGAGATGATGCTTTCTTCCACTGATGAAGTACCATTAAATTTTGGATTTACCGGCAAAGGAAACGCATCCGATCCGGCTGCCCTGGTAGAGCAAATTGAAGCTGGTGTGATGGGTTTGAAATTGCACGAAGATTGGGGCACCACTCCTGCTGCCATCGACACCTGTCTTGGTGTTTGTGACAAATATGATGTCCAAGTAATTGATAATAAATTCTTTCTGGTGCCACTCGTTTCCAGGAACGATTTGTTAACCACGCTTCACTTTACTCGGATCGGTGTATAGGTCAATATTCACACGGATACCCTTAATGAATCCGGGTTCGTTGAGCACACTATTGCCTCTTTCAAAAAACGCACGATTCACGCTTATCATTCTGAAGGCGCGGGTGGAGGACACGCGCCCGACATTATCCGTGTATGCGGAGAACCCAATGTCATTCCATCGTCAACGAATCCCACGCGTCCTTTCACATCCAACACGCTTGACGAACATGTCGACATGTTAATGGTGTGTCATCACTTGGACAAAAACATTCCCGAAGATATCGCATTCGCAGAATCTAGAATCAGAGCCGAAACGATCGCAGCCGAGGATGTACTGCACGATTTGGGCGCGATTAGTATCATCAGCTCAGATTCACAGGCCATGGGTAGGGTCGGCGAGGTAGTACTCAGAACGTGGAAAACCGCGCACAAAATGAAGTTACAGAGAGGACGATTGGGTGACGATAAAGACGGTGCGGCTGATAATTTCAGGATTAAACGCTATGTTGCTAAATATACCATCAATCCGTGAGTAAAAATTTCAGTAAATTTTTTGGTACTATTCGCGTATACCAACGAACGATCCAACTTTGTCAATTCAGAGCCATCGTCAGTGGGATAAGCCATTTGGTCGGATCGATTGAAGTTGGGAAAGTCGCCGATTTAGTGATGTACTCGCCAGCCTTCTTTGGCACCAAACCCGAGATTATAATAAAATCAGGTATAATCGTTTGGTCACAGATGGGAGACGCAAATGCATCGATTCCAACCACGCAACCTATAATCTCGAGACCAATGTTTGGCTCATATGGTCTAGCCGCGGCCAAGAATTCTTATGCATTTGTGAGTCATGTTTCGATTTCTGAATCTAGGATTCCAAAGTACGGACTTAAAAAGAATGTGGAACCGGTGAAGAATTGTAGAAACATTGGCAAGAAAGATATGAAATTGAATGACGCCTTGCCAAAGATAGAGGTTGACCCAGAAACTTACGTCGTCAAAGCTGACGGAGTTGTCTGCACATGTGATCCTATCAAATCTTTACCGTTAACTCAAACTGTCTATTTATTTTAAAAATTTTGTATATTATTTTTTTTTCATTGCATTTTAATTCTGGTAAAAACGTTTGAGAATAAAATCTCGTTTCACAACGTTAAATTCCTTCGGGGAAGTCAAATTTGTGAAAATTTGTTTGCTAGAATAACTTGACGGGACCAATGTATCACATCACATATCAGCATTGAATGCAACAACGAATGAAGAGGAAAAAAATCACGGTGCAAACTAAACATCGATATGTTATCCAAACCCAGCAAAAAAGAAAATTTACAAGTAAAACCGTTTATAACAAAGTTATGTGCATTCATCAATTATAAATTATGAGCAGGTTATCGACTGAAACCGATAGGCCATCTCACAAATTCTTCAGGTAATGCTTAAAGATGTTCCCGAATAAGCCGTTCGCTCAATCTTTCTATAATACGTCTCGAGCTGATGACCATCACAACCTTTATGAATTAATTTTTACGCCCGGAACATTTAACAAGAGGGAACAACCATATTTAAAAAATAAATGGTCAAGAGAACATTATTTTCCGATTTCCCGAGTGCTTTTTTTTTTTTTTACCATGTACGATAATAATGCGTTCGCCAATGGCGTCGATCGACAAAATTCTAATTTTATTTAAACAAACGTAGTAAATTCATACACCTGCCACTAGATTCCTCCCTTTCGATGTTTTTTTTTTTACACGCATGTATTCAGTGACTATCATCACGTGTCTCCACTCCCACACACATTTCATGAATAACTGAGGTAGAAAAAAAAATTATATACAAACTATTTTCAATGTAAAAGAAACGACATAATAGGAATTAACGAATATATATCTTAATTATCGGTGATTAGCGCGCGAAACGGCACTTTACTAGACACGATCAGACATTTAGTTCCGTATCGAGATCATTTTTAAAAGTAAAATAATAGAATGTAAGGAAACTCGCGAGAACAATCCCCTTTTCATTCAGGTCGTAAGAGCGCTGCCACCTAAATGCGAACGAGCAAACATGTTCAATTA